CATGCGATCATTTGAATTGATAATTAAACTAGGCTTTATTAGGTATGAAAACAATGATTATCATAGTTAATCAAGTTGAAGAATCAAATAATAAGATTTTGAACGGTAATATTTAATTAGAATACATTTTTTCCTTCAGTTTGCACTAGTTTATCATTCATAAAGAAAAAAAAAAAACGCCTATTCTAATTATAAATTCAAATTAATTGTTAATAATTGAGTATGAGTAACTTTCATTCTCCATATTTTGGCACTATTTGTCAAATAATAATTTGACGTTTGTTTAGAGAAAATTTTGACATTTTTTATTTCTATCATAGCAAATTATGCGAAAACAGGTGTGGGTAGTAATAAATTTTCTGTAGTGTTAACAAAAAGTCACCATAACTTAAAAATTATTTAATTTGGGTATACGGAATGTTAATACAGATCGATGCACAATTAAATTCTCTTCTATTTAGTAGAATAAAAATTGGGGTATTTTATTTGGAAAAATTGAGTTATGAGAATTTGAATTATTTCAAAAGCAACCTTAAAATTTTAATTTTCTTTTAAAAATTTGAAAACACCAGAATAAAGATCTAAACTTGTTCAGTATTTTGATTTTTTCAGTAAGAATTGTTCATGACAGGGGATAATTACCCTGCATCCCTATAAAAGCCAGACGCGAAACATCCATTTTTTCAAGTATCAGGTTAATGTTAATTAAAATTTGACTCATACGCGTGTAAACTTAGCCTCGCTTAAAACAAAATAAACAAAATTGTAAAAATCAAACAATGCAGAATAACTTTCCTGCTGAAATCTCAAATTCTTGTGGTTAAGTGTCATCATCATCAAATTACATATCATTAAAAACCGCAATAATTGTCACGTATTTGTCATTAAAACAACGATATAAATGTAAATTTCATTCAAAGTACAAGCAAATTAATTTACAAGATTAAAACTCTTATTGATGTCATTTTACAAGATTCCCTTGTCGAAAAGTCTTAATCGCGACGTGATGACATAATTTCCGGTTGTTTATCTTTGCAATTTAGAACAAACGTTAAGACACGAACTCATTTACCTAAATTACGGCAAGATACTACTCATTTAAACATCCGTTTAAGAACCTCTCCCCTTATCGAAAAATGGTAGCAAAATCGGTGTCGATATTTCACAAAACATACTAATATTTACTTTTTTTTTACTTCTAATATTTTTCATAATTCTATTGTTGATTACATAAAATCTAGGATTTTTTTTACAATTGAAAACAACACATTTCATTTCAGAAATGACAACAAACACATCAACTACAACGAATAAGTAGTTCAAGTGTTTGCAATTAACAGTTTCCGTTTTAAATTACTTTCTTTCCGAATAATTTTCTCAATAACTTTAAAAAAATGTTCATTTTACGGTCTGAAACGACCTTGAAATGTAAGAAATTAATTTCACATTGGTACAGTTTCATTTCGTTCATGGTTTTTGATTTTAATTTCAATTTCATAAAGTTTAAACCTAAATTTCCGACTTTTGCAAATGTAATTACTTTGTTACTCAAGTGATTAGTTCAAAACGCAAGACTAAAGTTTTGTTATTATTTATTGAACAAAGAAAGTCATTTCCGTTTTATTCTTTTACTGGATATTAATACAATAGAGAGATAACAAAGAATGTAATTCGTGAGCGCAATCGTGAAAATTTTATTTACTCTTTTCTAAACTATTAAATGCATTATTTTTTAAAATTTATGACAGTGTGTACTCAGCTTGCAATGTTTACCACAACACCTCCAACCTTGACTGTTTTTTAATCTCTTTAGATTTCATGCTTGACACACTGCATTGAAGTCTTTCATTATGCTTTATATCGTGGAATCCTTCAAGAATGTGTCACAACGTATTCATCTCCTACAACATTAATTCGGTTTCCGGAGAGCTTCGTTTCGAATTCATCGATTATGTGGTAAAATTTTAATTTCGTTCTTTGGTGTTGTAATGAAAGCAACTGAATTTTATTGTATCGATCGTTGTAATATTAATTGTCACCATTGAATAAGTCAACGAACTTGAATTTTGATGTTTAGGAAATGTTGAGGAATCTGGGCGTTAACTCTTTCATTTCCTTTTCGTCATATTGACATTTCTAGTTTCCTATCTAATAGATACTTTCACGCCAAAACGGGAGTACTTCTGGACTAATTTTGGAACTAGTCTAAATATTTATGAAAGTGCTCACAATTAATTTGCACTGTTTGTCAGGGTGTGTTCAGTCACGCAAACTGACAAAAATTAAGCTTATTTGCCCTGATTTTGCAAAAAATAATTAACTAACTGCTGAAACAGCTTGATTATTTTATGTAAAGAAAACGGGAAACGAGATTTCGGAAACTGACAAGCCAACAATAGGAGGAAATTTTGTTTTATGGTAATTTTCACCCACCTTTCACATAGTCTATGTAATCGATCCAAGACGATTGTTCATTTTGTTCGTTTTTGATGACTCGGATGACGAATATAATAAAATATAAACAACATGATGTGTGATGGTTTTCATCCTGTTTTATGCGTCTTTTGTGTGGTCACAATGGAGTTTTAATCAAAATAAATAGACGGAAAAGGAGACTTACATTAGGCGAGCTCGACAGGTTGCCCACCACAATAACAATAAAAGTAAACAAAAATTTATTAATTAATAATAATAATAGGTAAATAACAAAAGTTCTGAAAAGTATAAATTTTTCAAATGTGTAAAAACATTTTTTGTTTCTATTTCAGTGGCACAATAAACTTTTTTGGTAATTTACCTCAATTTTGATGCTTTAACAGATATTAAAAAGCGCGACGTCATCAAATTTTTGTTTAAAAACGACAAAAAGAAGATATATTACAAAAAATTGTGGTTACGGCACTCGTTTTTTAACTTGAATTCGTGCTTCAAGACTGACCTTGTTAAACTTGTTTTTTAATACATATACTATTATGCAATATTTTCAGTAACACGAAATGCTCTTTGTGACATTGTTTTTTACATTGAGCTATTTTCAAGCGATTTGGGTACCGCATACGTCACAAGTCATCAATTTAAACTGTCAAATTTAATAACAAATTCAATTTAAACAGCGCTCAATCGAAAAAATGGTATAAAAAACGAGTGTTACAACCTCTCATACTTGTGATTTGTAATGCAATAAGGCTTGTTTTTTAAAATACTGTTTTATTAAATATAAGCATACAAATTTCTGATCAAAGTGGTTTATGATCTTGAAATTAATTTGGCAACATTGTATGAACAGTGTTGCCTAATTTCCCCATGTTTCAAAAGCCATTAAGAAATGATCTTTTTGAGAATACAATGACGATTTATAGCGAAAAAAAATGTTTCAATATGTAAGAAGACATATATTTATATCCCAAGCGTTGAATCAAATTCCTGATCAAAGTGGTTGAAATTTTTCAAAAGGCATGAAAAAATTATGTTTTTGGTACACCCTATATTTAAAATAATTTAATTCTTTAATTAGCAATACTGAAAATAACACAAAAATTGACAGTTTTTAATTCGCTATACTCGTCTCTTTTGGTTAGAACCCTTCTTTATTTTACAAAAGTAATATTCCTTACTATTCTTCTTTGCATCTTATGTTTTAAAGACAGAAGTAATTTTGTTTTTTTTTACATAATTCATAACAGTGAAGATTATTTAGGTTAGGTATTATTCATATAAAAATTATTTGAAATACAATGACGATTTATGGCGAAAAAAAATTGTTTCGGTTTCTAAGAAAACCATACGTTGAATCAAAGTGACCTATGATCTTGAAAATAAAGTGACAACATTGTATAAACAGTGTTGCCTGATTTCCCCATTTTACAAAAGCCATTAAAAATTATATTTTTGGGAATATAAAAACGATTTATAGCGAAAAAATAAAGTTTCATATCTAAGAAAACATGTATTCATATACCAAGCGTTGAATCAAATTTGTGATCAAAATGGTCTACGATCTTGAAATTAAATTAGCAATAATGATTAAACAAACAGTGTTGCCATTTTTGAAAAGCCATGAAAATATAATGTTGTTGGTGCACCCTATATTTGAAATAATTTAATTCTTTAATTAGCAATACTGAAAATAACACAAAGGTTGACAGTTTTTGGTTTGCTATGCTCGTCTCTTTTGGTTAAAACCTTTCTTTATTTTACAAAAGTAATAAGTATTCCTTACTATTCTTCTTTGCATCTATGTTTTAAAAACAGAAGTAATTTTGTTTTTTTACATGACTTATGACAGTGAAGATTATTTAGATTAGATTATTATTCATATAAAAATTATTCGAAATACTATGACGATTTATAGCGGAATTTTTTTTTTAAGTTTCCAAGAAAACCATGCGTTGAATCAAAGTAATCCACGATCTTGACATTAAATTGGCAACACTGTATGAACAGCGTTGCCAGATTTCCAAAGCCGTAAAAAATGAGTTTTTGAGACATTCTATATTTGACATAATTTAATTGTTAAATACTGAAAATAGCCGGAAAATTGTCAGTTTTTGGTTCTAAGTTGCCAACAACCCCGATTAAAACCAAATGACCGTCAAACAATTTCGAGCAATTAACCGAACTTTCGCCCCCCTTTGCCCCCGAAACCCGTAATTTTCCTAATTGCAATAAGAAAGTCGAGAAAGAGAATTGGCTTTATTTATTAGAAATCGAGACGGCGAGGCTAGGGGAAACTCAGCGGGGGACAAAACAGTCTCGAATCGAGGACAGAGAGGCAAAATCGACATGAATGAACTCGTCCGGCCTTTGAACCACCGGAACAACCCCCGCAGACTTCCCAGACAAGATACAAACAAAAAAAAAACAACAAAACTGTCAAAGTCAAAACGATCGCAACGTCTGTGGAATTTTGACAAGTGATCGAAACAATCAACGATCGATTAAATAAAATCACCGATAACAACACGTGTCGTACAATAACAAGAAAATTGTATGATTCATACCGCTGTGTTCGGTGAAAATATTTGAGACAATTTGCCGTCCATCTTTCGTGGCTCGGGGTCTGCTTCTGGCCGCCCTAATCGAGTGGTGGGTGCCGATCACGGCTCGTTCCTTGGTGTTCTGGGCGCCCATGGCTTGCAATCATACCCTCCCGGATTGTCACTTAATCCCCCTCTGACGTATTATGCACACACACATAGAAAAAAATGATGCACACATATACACACACACACCGCACAGAAAAGGGTGGCGGATTCGAAAACGGCACAACACAACTACATAATATTCACGCACGACACTCGACGAACCGCTACAGCTTCGGTCTCAGTTATTTGGCATTTTACGGACGCGAGAAAACCGCCGTTTTAACGATTACTCCGGATAGATCAATCGCACCATACGTCTACTCCGCCATATTTAAGAAATTCAACCATAGATTGCGAGAATTCGAAACATAAAATGGCGGGTTAGGCAACACATTATACACAATCAATATAATTTGCTGCAATTTTGTTAAACCAAATTACAATTATAACAACTAAAACGTAAAATGTTGTATTTAATTTATATACATGTTTCTTTGTTGTTACAAATATTTGTAGTTCTATTTTAATAAATAAATTGGTAGGCAACCATCTATGCAGATGTCAATTCTATCTTTTGGAAAATCGAGATATTGCAGCACTTTTTTTTAAATTTTAAACAGTAGTCACTTAAGGCTTAACTTATCGTTTGCCAAGATAGGGAATTTCAATGCATTTTTCGAAAAGGTTTTTCTCGGCTATTATAAGGAATTTTTTGGTTTTTATTTTTTTGATGAAACCATTTTAGATATTTCTAGGGATATTGTTATGTAGCTAATTTAAATTCGTATTTTTTATATATTTTTTAACTTATTTTTTATAATAAAATTATAGTATTTTTTTTTTTTATATGGAAACTAACAATGTCCTTCCTACATGTACCAAAGACCTTAAGAAAAAAAAATAAAATCATTCGGATAATTAATAACTGAAAAATCTCTTGTGGAAAATATTATTAACTTTCGTAGTGTGAAAATCGTCTTGTCTCAACCCTAGTTCTTGTTCACAACAAACTTAGCTTACCGTAAGCAGACCCCCATCACCGGTTTTATCTGATTTATGACCTTACGAGGGATGTTTCGCATCTATAAAGAAACAACTAAAAGTACAAGCTGTAAAATTAGGTCATTTTAAGAAATGATGTAAAAGATGAATAAATTTAATTTAAGTACCAAATGCTGCTCTGATTTCATATAATTCTAAAGGTAAATATTTACATTGTTTAAAAAAGGCTGTAAATTAAAAAAGTCCGGGATATTATACTACTACATATGTAAATGCACAACAAAAAGTAAAAGCAAATAATTTAAAACGAAAATTAAATAAAAATAATGACAACAATCTAGTAAACAGAAGAAAAATTACTGAAGAAGCAGATGATGATTATGGTTGTGTTGTGCAAAGATGGTTTGAAAGTAATTAAAAAAACTCCTGAAGAAATTTAGATAATTTTTAATCAAACAATTTAATCACTATTTACCAGCTTATG